GTAACACTTTTTGACTTTCTCAGTTTGTGTAAATCCACATGGGGTTCAGAGTATAATTTTTTTATCCACAGTAATTTCACACTTGTCTAGAACAAATATGTCGCTTTGTTTCATAATTACAGTGTATACGTTTTTTTTTATTTACCCTCAAATAATGGAAGTGAAATGTGACAACATGCCCCATAGGTGGGGTACATTGTAACATCTGAGGGGCACATTGTAACATGACTGTATGACAGCTTAAAACGTTATCTGATCTCATGAAAAAAATATACAAGACAAATGAAAATATTTTGTCAATAAAATAAAATATATATATATTTTTTTTATAAAATAATGGCGTTTTTTAAGAATGAAAAATAATCTGATTTTGGAGTTTGACAATGAACACATTGCAACCAGGCTTGGGATGGCCCACAAAAACGAGCCAAAATGCTTTTCATGTCTTGAAATAATAATTTCTGAACATTAAACATTGACTGTAAGCCACTTGTTTCTCGTAGTTTCTCAGTAAAATTCATTAAAGTAAATAGTGTAAATTACATTGCTAATGTCATAGAATAGCATAGTTTAATAATAGCGGGGCACATTGTAATGCAGTGTTACAACGTGCCCCATCGGCGCAACTGGAATTTAAAACTGGTTAGTGTCTTCTGCTAGTTATTGAAGCATTGAAAACTATCTAAACTGATAAATAACAGATTGGAGAATAAAATAATAGCAGAGTTGTCTCATTTTAAATGAATAATAAAAACTGAGATGAAAAATTTACTTTAATTTTACTATGGTAAAATAAAATGTTCAGCTATATCTTCAAAATACTTTTGAATTTTTGTGCACTTTTTTTCTCTATGTAATGTTGATATGGTAACTAGTAAATACTGTAAATTTGGTTATGCTAGCATGTGTGGAAATATTTAAACCACGTGTGTTACAACTAACCCCGCGTTACTTTGTGCCCTGCGCTCCCCTACATACGCATACATTATCAGTATATGAATACAAAACCAACAAGCCAGTCAAAGATTCAGAGAAAGAAAGAAACTAGATACAATGTCGTTGAAATGTCCTTTCAAATGTAAAACACTTTCAGAATTCAACATAATTTTTATTTGTCATATATTGGTTTTAATTAAGCTATCAGGTATATTTTTTACCTGTAAATATACTAATACGCTAATACAAACTTATTTTATTTCACCCAAAAAATACAATTCTACCATTTACCCACCTTCCTGTTCAAATCTCTATCATTTTATTTTATTTTATTTTATTTTATTATTGGAAAGAAGATATTCTGAGAAATGTCTTGGTGTTTTTTCCTATACAATGAAAGTCTGGTCTGGTTACCAACATTCTTCAAAATATATATTTTTTTGTGTTTTGCAGAAGAGAGTCATACAGGTTTGGACTGACATGAGGGTGAGTAAATGATAACACTCTCTCTTTAAATAAATATATAAAATGTACTTTTATTAAAATCAAAGGAACAAAAGCAATTATAATAATTATTATTATTGATGCTGCTATTATTATTATTAATAATAATACATATTTTTTTGTTTCTAAGTGAGGCTGAAATAAATAAATAAATAAATAAAGTCTGATAATTTGACTACAAACATTGCAAAGTATTGTTAATATAATAAACGTAGCAATTTAACTGAAGTAGTGTCATTCCAACAGCCTATGGTTGACAACTTTAGTCATCCTACAGTATTTAGTCATCCTACATCTGCTGAAAAATGTGGATAACATTGTGATTTAATTATGTTCTGCTGACATCAGAGAGTTGTGTGTCTGTTCAAATAACCCATTTATTCACTCTCTCTCTTCTTCTGCCTTTAAAGAAACCCCAGGAAAAAAAATAAAGAAAGGTTAATAACAACCCTTCCTGTGTCATATTCGACACGACCAGCCATTGGACTAATTATATTCATTATGGCCGCATGGATGTCTACTTATCCTTCTTAATGACAGACCACATGAAAAAGCCCTCTAAACATATCTATTATTTAATCAAACTGTTCCCATTTGGTACAGGCAAAATGGAATGAGCAGGCTTTATTTTTGGCCTGAATGAATTCTCTGTGAACACGCCAAAGGCCGAGAGAAGAGAAAGCAGGCCTTTAATTTGTAGCTTTTGATTTGAATCGCCATTCAGATGACAGAAAGGTACAGTTTATTCTGACAATCAGAGCTCCTGAAGAGGAATAGATATTATTAAGGATTAGAGATGAGCTTTCCAGTGAGGATGAGACAAGCCATTTCCTTTTGTTCTCTTCTCTTTTCTCTTTGTGTGTCAAACTCTGCCAAAGACCACAAAAAAAAAAAAGAGATATATCCAGTAGCTGTCGTGTTGACGGTTTGGGTACTTCCTCTCCAAAGCCAAGCAGGGGCCACATGCAGTGTCACTGTTCGTCTTTAATCAAAGCCACTCAGATAAAATAGGAATGAATAAATAACTGAAAACGTAACATACCGAGTGAAAATCATTGTATTTACTACTACGTGCAGCCTGCAGTTTATTCTACAGGAACAGACCCACTCTAAAATGAAACTTCCCAGGAACGCAAAAGGTGAACTTTCAAGTGAACATCCCACTCTTTTCCATGTAATGCTAGTAAATCAGGAATGGGGCTGTCAAGTTTTCTGAAGCCATGCGATAGCTTATTGTAAGAAATTGAGAGAAATTGAATTGTTGTTCAGTGAAAATCCTGACATCAATTCATGAATGAATCGTTCTTTCAAATTAGATCCTTTCAAGGAATCGGTTGATCCCATTCACAAACCCAGTGGGCGTCAATCAAGCTGATCAGTTTGCTGGCTTTGTGATCCACTCACAATAGTAAACGAGTTTATCAGTGAATAAAAACATACATTTCCATCTGTAAGTCACAAATAGCTAGTCATATAAATACATTTTATGATGCTGATATGGTGCTTTTGCTTCTTCTTTTTTTAAGCTTGAAATCTCCAGTCTCCATTCACTGTAATTGCATAGATTTGGAATTTCTTCCAAATTTATCCTTTTCTGTTCCACAGAAGACAGAAAAGTCATACAGGTTTGGAACAACATGAGAGCGTGTAAATGATGACAGAACTTTCATATTTGGGGGAGCCTTTTCCTTAAAATAAAACACGGTGTGAAAAGCAGTTGTGAAAATGTTTCAGCAAATTACTGATGCACAATCTTCCAGATGTGTTACTTTTTTAACTTCCTCTGCTTTTTTAATCACACTTCCTAAGTCTAGAAGTGCTGTTGTAATGATTAAAACTGCACATATCTCTTTTATCTCGCCCGAGAGAAAATCTCACCAGAACATTCTGTAGATGGCTTATGCCAAGATGAGTGATGTGATTGTTACTCAGTATCAGCGTTCTCAAACCCGTCTTCTGAAAGCTCAAAGCATCACAAATCTCTCCCAAACCTGTGGAACAAAGAGAGATGACTACACAAGAGCTGAAACAAATTGTGCATTTTAACCACAAAAACCTTTCCAACCGTGCTATTGGAAGCACCCCAATACGTCCTCAAACAAAACGGGCATACCTGAGTCAGACAGGTTATTGTTGCTCAGGTCCAAGGTTTTAAGAGGGCTGTTGTATTTGAGGAGATCGCCAAGTTGCATGGAGTCCTGGTAGCCGTTGAGGTTGTTTTCAGAGAGGTAAAGCTCCTGCAAAATGATATTCCTTTTCAGAGCACCGACTAGGGCAAGAATTGAGAAAAATCTTCAATAAGCATGGCGCTTTGTCCTTGTCCGAGATATGTGTGCCGAAGAACTCTGGCACAGTGCAACAACAAAAGATGTCATGTAATACAATCTGCAAAAAAAAAAAAAGAAGAACGGATTTCTGTGAATGCCCACAGCGATTCTTCCAAACGACAACAAAGGCTCAATGAAAGCTTTAAGCTTGTGTAGGACTATCTCCATTATAATTTTTATTTACATCGCTGTGATTATCATTTTAATCGGCAACATCATTACATATCCCTTTTAGGGCCAGAGAAGCTTTCATGGGCTTTTTGTCTGTGGCCTCACAGAGCTGTCTGTCCAAATCAATGCGGCAGATTTGATCAGACCCTTTCGGTTGCATGCGGAATGCCAACATTGTCATCATACACAGTAGGAACCAAATAGGGGGATCGTTTAATTGATCGGAGGGACTCTACTGTGCGAGTCAGCGCGTCCCGCAATCAGGGCCCCACCGATCAATAGCAATGATCAGAAGCTGGGCGTCCCGCTGGGAAGAATGAGGGGGGTGGCCGAGTGGCCCCAAAATATCAAATGGATCCACATGCTGCTTAAAGAGACAGAGCCATGAAGACATAGGATGTGCCACTCCACTCCTCAGTCTCATTTAAGGCCATTTTACTTGGGTTTTGTTAATGGCCTATGTCTACAACATTTCATTCGCTCTCTTTCTTTTACCCATTCATTTCTGGGGCTCCCATTTCCATTCAGATATTAGCATGATGATTCAGCAGTGGCAATAAACTCTTTCTATGCATAGAATACCCTGATGAACAAAAAGAGCAGTATGATAAGCTTAGTGCATAGAACACTGTATCCTGCAATGCAATGCACTTGACCAGTGTGATGAATGAATGGAAAGTTATATGAGCCACATTTTTAAATTTCAATTTGAGACATTTTTACACAAAATTAGATTAAAATCCAAAACAAATTGATTATGAAATGATCTCTGCTTACCTAAAAATAAAATCAAATGCATTAAATTAAAAACAATAAAATGTAATAAAACTATTAATGGAATATACAAGAAGTATACACGTTTTAATGCGTTATAATATTTTACTATCTTTAACTACACATTGTCATATGAACAACCACTGCCATTATTTTGTGGGATCACTAAGCCAGATATAGGATTCCATAGGTTTTACATGTTTTAATAATACATGTCCTAATGACAATGTTTTGCACAGGTTTGAAGGGCCGGCACATCTCTATAAAAGCTGTGGCTGTAGTCCTGTGTCCTTTTTAGGAGGCTAGCTCTACAGTGCCATGGGAAAGACTCCATCTCACAGTGAGCTGGCCGAAGTGTCCTGAATGGATCGGTGCAGCAATGTGTAAAGTGACAGGAAGAAGATTACGACATCTAATCCAAGCCCAGTCTAGCTGTTAGGGTCACTGGGCCAAAATCTGCCACTCCTCCCCTTGTCCTGCTTCATCTGTTCCTGTTGGCCAGGGCCGCTCATGGAGAACGCTCATTTCAAACACATGATATCTGTACTTATACTGACATATTGCAGTATTCACACGAGAGCAAGCGAAGCAACTCGTAGACTGATATTAACACTTTCTACATTGTTAAAAAAAATCTTTGTGAACATTAGGTGTGACTTTTGAAGATAACGCACCCTTTGGGACGGTATGTTGTGCTGTCATGATATCATTAAAGGATTCAAAACTCCGCCTGGAGTAAATGTACTTATGCAGCGGGAAATTTTCCGCAGCACTTGCTAGACCAACACCAAGCCAAATGTCACAATAAAAAAAAAAATGTTGCCATCCTTATGATGGGACTATCTTAGCACAGATGCACTTTGCTGTGTTTTTCATTAGACCACATTAATGCAGAGCAGATTTACTCACCATCAGACAATTTAAGCTGTAGATATGTTTGTTTCTTCATCAGAACAGATCTGGAGAAATTTAGCATTACATCACCTGCTCACCAATGAATCCTCTGCAGTGAATGGGTGCCATCAGAATGAGAGTCCAAACAGCTGATAAAAACAGCACAATAATCCACAAGTAATCCACACCACTCCAGTCCAGTCCATCAATTAACATCTTGTGTTTTTGTGTGCTTTGTGTTTGTAAGAAACCAATCCATCAAGACGTTGTAATTTCAAACTGTTGCTTCCAGCTAAAATGCAAGTCAATGATCCATAATATTGCTTTCTAAAAAGTCATCTGGTCTGAATCAGGAGAGAAATATGCACAGATCAGTCAACTTTTACAAGTGAAAGAGTCCAAGACAGTTCCAAACAACTATGACAATATATTATACATAAGAGGACAACAGTGGATGGAATTTTTCAATAGAGAAAGTATTATTATGAATTATGCACTCATATTTTGGCCAGAAGTGATGGTTTAAAGTAAAAAACGGCTTAACGACGAATACAGCTTTTCACTTCACAAGATATTAGGCTAATTGTTGGACTGGAGTCGGATTACCTGTGGATTATTGTGACGTTTTTATCAGTCGTTTTTCTGATTGTCACAATTCTCATTCTGATAGCAGCACCCATTCATTGAATTTTCCACTGAATATTTCTTTAAGTAATACAGTTGACCCCATTTCCCACAATGCACCTGTTAGCATCATTTGCATTTCACAGCACAGGGTCATATTCTCAGGCCGCTAGCACCCAAACTTTCTTCCATTCTTAGATCGCATGCACTTCAAGTGGATGGTGTGTGCTGGGCATACCAAGTGTGAAGAGTGGTTTGCCGCTCAGGCAGGTGTTTTCAAGGTGTAGCACTGTCAGCCTGCTGGTGAGAAGGGCTTTTGACAAGGCCTGCGTGACGTACTCCACCATAGGCATGTTGCAAGCATCCAGCCTCCACAGGCATCCACTCTGAAGAGACCAGACAGCAAACCATCAGAGAGAGAGAGACACAGAGACTCAGAGGCCTGGTTTTGCCCTCGCTGCGGACTGGCCTCTCTGTCTCACCCTCTCTCATCAAAAACCTACCCTGTCTACAGAAGCAGAAACGTCAAAATCGGAAAACAATTCTGACGGGAGGTTCCCAAAGATCTGCAGGCCATTCCGGAGTTTCATCCTTTAGTCCACCACTTCACAAGTGTCCAGATTTTTTTCTTCTCTCCCTTTCTTGGGAGATTTTGATTGATCTCGTATAATACTGCCTGAGAGCGTGCCTTTGGTTTTTACCATTGAAGTCCTCATCACCACGAGGTGATGCCGTCTTTCATCTAGAGCTGTTGTTTAAATGAACACATCTTGTCAGGAGTTTTATGAGGACTATAATGATGTCCATTAAAATCAAAGTGTGAATGTGGCTTTATTCAGCAGTGCGGACATGTTCATCTTTGATGCATGGTAATTCATTGCTTCTAATTCAATCTGAATGCCACTGTGAGGTATCGGTTCACACTTGATGACACATTTAAAACATGAGGCGTGTTATAGAACTTAAAACAATGAAGGCAGCTGTTTGCATATATTTTTTAGTTGAATTCATTTACTTTTAAGATAAAATGTCAAGTTGCCAAGAGGTAGCCTACAATGTGCGTTAAAGTAAATATAATTTTTTAAAGCTGAACCAGCTTAAAATGCATTAAAGATACAAACTGTTAACTGTTTTGTTCATGAATACATCTGTGAATCACAAAGTGACCGAATCCATTTACATACACAGCATTCTTTACTTGATTAAAAGAATCATTTCTACAATAAGGTTAAAAAACAGCATATTATAACTGAAATGTTTATGTCACAACTCATTGGGCAGTAGGATTTCATGTGCAGTGTGGAAATATTCAAATTTGACCTGTCGGAGGAGGTGTGACAGTGACAGCCAACCTGAGAATCCCATGCCTGGGTTCGAGGACACATCGAGGTGCTGACTTGTAGTACAAAAACATATCTAGCAAAAATGATGCTCCCTTTTAAGAGAAAATAAATCAATATCAACAAGTAAACAGAACTCTGACAAAATAAATATTTTTGTACAGAGTTTTAGGAGCGGACACAAGCATGACAGCATTTTTTTTTTTTTTGGCGGGAATGCAGCAGTTCGGCGTAGGGCAAATCTTTGCTACGGATTCAACGCGACCGCTGATGAATCAACAGCGCCACGGCAAAAGTTCCAATTTACCCTGTGTTAAGTCCGAGTTTTAGTGTGTTGAGGAAGGAGGATCGTCTACCACGAAATAATGGTAAGAAAACATGGCTTCCTGTTTAACACTAGCCTATTAGTCATGAACAAATTACTCCAAGCTCAGAGATTACCAATTGGACCCTTTCCACTAACACAGTTATTGACATCGTAAATCTAGCAAAGTTGTTATTTTCAATGTATAAATAAATAAATAATAATACTGTTCATTCATTTTTTTTAAATATTATTTTTAATAGATGTTTCTCATACAAAGACTGAGGAAGTGAGGGCAAATTTTACATATTGTCTTTTGACAAATGCAATCATTTTTTTCCCTCTTTTGGAAAGTCTTTTGCTTATATGTTTTCTTCTTCTTTTGCTATTGGGGCAAATGAAAAAAAAATGTTGTAGTTTCCATTCACTACTATATAGGTTTACACAACTATGACATCTTCCGCTTTTGAGAACAAAAAAAGGGGAAAAAACCCAGCGTGCATTTCAATGTTGATTCACCGGTGAATCAACGTCGGGTACCATAGTTGAATCAACATTTGATTATGTTTCGATTTTGCAAATTGGATAAATGTTGATATTGTGACGTTGTTTCACTGTTGAAATTGCGACATTGTTTCACTGTCTTACCTTCAGCGTGGGTGAATTAAGGTTGTTCTGTAGACGTTGGATTAGGTGTTGATTTTGCAAATTTAATCGACATTGATAACGCGACGTTGTTTCACTGTCGTACTTTCAACATGGGTGAATACACAACTGTACGTTCAATTAGAACCTAGTTTGCATTTAGATCAAGACTGTACATACATAAAGGTTAAAAATCAAATGACTGGCAGCAATGGCTTTACAATCAACTTAATAAACTACCACGTCCTCAGTATTGTAAAACAACAGTTTTATTTTGGAAACATACTGTATAAAACACATGAAAATAATCTTAAACTTTAGTTTGCAGTGTTTGTGCTTGGATGCCCTTACCAAAAAGTAGTATACTTCAAGTTTATTTTAGTAAGTATACTTAAGTAAAGTTCAAGTATATTTT